AGAAGTAGGGAAATTACGTTTCCAGTTCATTCCAGATGGAGGTAACAAACAACATGTGAGCTTCAAACTGATGAGGGCTGGCTGCAGCACAGTAACATAGGAAAGGGGAAAGTGATGGGAGGGGGATCATTAAGAAGTGTTTTGTGGGGTGGGCATTACAGCAAAGAAAACTATTTTTACCTGCTCTCTGCTCTTATTAAAAACCTTTATCTTGGTTCAGACTGACCATTAATTGGGTGAATTTCCTGCCAGGTAGTTCACCTGGAAAAATCTTGAAAATGATACAAAGCAGACTAAAGCTAATTGCACAAGGATGTGCAAGCTAGTGGTCTCCTCATAGGCTGCATATCAGACTTGCTATTCTAGAGGGAAAAAATGTTAGAATAAAATGTTCAAATGATTATTGATCTGCTAGGAATCTCCACAAAAGTGGTCAAATTCAAAATACTGTTACAAAATTTTGATTTCTATGGGTAACAATACAATATTGGTACTTTTGCAAAAAGCTGTGCCTGTTAACATAAGCATCACTCAGAAAATTACCAGTCAATATTGGGAGAGAGGAAAACGTAAGACAGATCATTAAATCCAGTATCTGCTATATAGATGCTGCCCAGGCCTGTTCCTACCATGCTCCTGACAAAGTCTTCATGAATAAGGCTGTTAAAAAACAAATTCCCTTTATACAGGTGCAATCTGTGTCCAAATTATGGAAGTGCTTTTAGTTGGTTTAAAAAACAAAACAAAACAAAAACCTCCTGGCTTAATCTGTTTCTTTCTGCTCTGTGATGCACAATGAATGGCTTTCTTGTCTCTTGATTGTTGTCTTTCTTCTTTTTCCATGATGGTGTGACCACAAGAGTGAGGACATCTGTTTCAAATATCATAGGAGGTCACTGTGGAGGTAAGAAATGTATTTATGTGCTGTAGTTAGTGGTTTTGCTTGAATTTGTAACTGTGCAATGTGTGTGTATGGCAACTGTTGAGTCATGGCCTGAACCAATGATTGATCACCTGGGGAAAGGACCGGGTCAGTCCTGGGAGCACAGGTGAAGGCAATTCAATTCTGTGTGACTGCAAGGGGTGGAACCTGGCTGCAGCTCTCTTAGACCCCTATGTAAGGGCTGACTGTCACTAGGGAAGGATCTCTTTCTGAGCATCTTTCCCTGTCAAATTTTTCCTGTGAAATCAGATCTTCGGAGACAGGTGAGTGCTTTGCCTTTGTAATGCCTTTCTATCTGTGCTAGTCCCTTTGTTATTGTATCTTTTGCATTGACATTCCACTCTGCTGATCTTTCTGATTGTTGCAGTGTTGAAGGACAACTGCAATGGCTGTACCACGTTGTATAAATAACTGGCAGAAAAAGCCTGGTTTGTGACTTTTCCTCTTGTGCATACAAGCAACTGGGTAGCCTGCTGTATGCATGCCACATAAAGTGCCCTTGGGTCTTGAGGCTGGGAACAGAGGTGTGTGGCTGAATTCAGTGCTGTGGCTGCTGTATGTCCTGAAGGGCAATGTGATGTACCAGGTGTACTATGGATCTTCAGTACAGATTTACTAGGAACAGTTCCTGGCACTTCACCCATCCTTTATCCACAGCGTGGGTAGTGTGTTGGGAAGCACGGTCTGTCGTTGAACCATGAGGTGCTCGTTATGAGTGTTTACTTGTATTACTGTAATGCTTAAAGCATAGGGTTGACTGCTAAAGAATGAGTCATGAATCAATATTTGTACTTGCAGAAACAGGAGGGAAATATGTGGGAAATTGGAAGAAGCTTACAAAAGACTCACAGTAGTCACTGCTGGAAAACATCTCAGCAAAACAGATGGAACCTGAAATCAATCAGACAAATTGGATCAGGTTGTGAATACAAATGTTGAAATTCCACAAGCGGTACAGATTTTTTCCTTGCAGGTGATGGAACTGGCTTTTCAGTACAGCACAGACCATAAGCTTTCTTGTGTGGATCAGACAGCCCTACCCAGAAAAGAAAAAATGCCACAATTGCAAGTGGGGAGGGTCAGATGGGGAGGAGGAAGTAAGAGGGGAGAGCTGAGCACCAAGGTGATGATACCCAAGGGAGAGACAGAAATGCACTGGCTGCATGCTCAGGATGGGATGTCCAGATGCACTGCTGGCCTCACTGGAAACAGCAGCCAAGCTTTCGGTTGCTTCCCTAGGGTCAAGCTTTCTCACCATTTGTCTGTGCTATATCCCAAAATGCCAAGGAATATGAACACTCATAGGTCTGTGCAGTGCTGAAGAACTGTCTTTTAAGCTATTTTATTTAGTTCATGAACACATGAGATTTAAAAAGCTGAGCATGATTGCTGTGGTGAAATAACACAGTAACTCTTGCTTTGCAGATGTCTGAAGGACAAGCCAAACAAACTTCTTTGCAAGATTGTTTGCTCTTGCAACTCTCTGTGGAAAATTGTTCTATGCTTCAGTGCTTTGTACTGCTCAGAAACTTTCTGCTTTTCTGCCAGTGAGCCCTCTGTTCAGGGGCAATTTACATCTAGCTTTATTGTGCTGTTTATTATCTTGATGTATTCATAACCACGGCCCCAACAGGCATTTGTTTTTCAGCCTATAAAGCCTAGCAAAAGTAATCTTGTGTGCGTGTGGTTCTAAAGAAGTGCCTTGTTTATTCTGGTGACAGTAAAACACAAACTAAAGCTACAGATCTGGAGAAAATGTTGCTCTGGTCTCACATTATGAACAGTGCAGGTGCTAAGGTGAAAATGTACAAACGCAGCTGCCGTTTGCCCTGACTGCAGGCAGCAATCAGCTCTTGATATTCCTGCTTACCTGGTGGGACAACCTCCTCTGCGTTCCATTTTCTTCCTTGTATTACGTCTTAGGCCCTGTGCCTTCCTTTTGGGCAAAGTAGCATGAAATCAGTTTGCTTTCAAAGCAGATGTGCTGCTTTTACACTCCCCATAGCAAGATTGTGAGCCTGAATTCATTGTTATCTGGTCAGCCACAAAAACAGCTCTGCACAACCCAAGGCTGAGCAGTATCTCCTCAACACAACTGCTTTTTCCCCACAGGCCTTGGGGAGATTCTTGCAAGCTCCAATAGGTAAGACATTAAGCAGTGCTGGCTCCTGGCCTAGGAGAGGCTGTCAGGCAATTTTCTTTGTGTCAGCATTGCTTACTATACTGAAGCAAGGAGCAGCGTGCCACTCTCCTTCCCTGCAAGCTGCGATTAGCAGGGACACAAAGCAGCTCTGGCTGGCCGGCACTGAGAGTCTCCTTGACCCAGGAGCACACCGACAGACTGGCACAGCTCCTGCCATCTGTTGCCCCAGCAGTGCCTGGCCCTGCCTCCGGGTACTGCAGGAGCAGGCCTCAAGAGGAAAACGCGGCAGCTGAGTCCCTTGCCATCTCACCCTTGCCCAGACAGCTCCAGGTATGTCTCCTCACACTGCTCGAATATGACCATGCATGAGCTGCTCCATCACAGAGACAAGATGGCATAGAATTCCTGACTTGGTAAAACCAGGCACTCTCACTGAGTGCATTTCATCACTAATATACTGAAGGTATCATCAGTCCTCTGGAGTAAACCAGCCAGACTAACCTGAAAATTGCAGGAAGTGATTTTTGTGATGACTTTTGGCAGTTAAGGCAAAAGGTAAACACAACTAAGCTACAAGCACTGTAGGTTCAGCTCTTACTCATTCAGTGTTTAGTATTTGCTCAGTAAGTAGTTCCAGTGAAAGTCTAGATAAGCCCACTCTCTAGACCTTGCCAAAGTATCCCCCAGATACTATTTCCAAAATGTTACACTAAAGTCCATCATTGCTAAAAGAAATTGTTTCCAACATAGAAAGAAGAAATTGGTTTACTGACAGACTAAATATTTTAACGAGGATTACTACACATGTAACTATTCTATGAATATTTTCCTGTGTACTACTTTCATGCTTTTAAATACTTTTTACATATCCGTACATCTGAGTTACCACATCCCACTAGATTTTACTGGAAGATGGATTTCTTATCAAGTGATGAACTGCACTTTTGGGACCTTAGCAGTGGCTGTTCTCTCACTTGCCCTGTGTTTAATTGTCCTTTCCTACCTACAGATGTCTTTGGAATGCTGGCCACCACACTGGTCAGTGAACAGGGGCTCTGCACTGCTGCTGCCAGGAGTAAGGCCGCCTTCTGGGACAGCAGTGGTGTCCTGCTGCTGCCTGTGACGTCCTGAAGTAATTTTAAGTCACTCCCTATGCAGTGATGCCCAGTTATTTGTTTCTTCCACTAAAAGATTTCCAAAAGTTGCTATGTCAGCACTCACACAGCCTGTGAATATGCCAACAAAACTTTTCTAGCACTTGTGTTCACGTAAAGTGTTACTGTTAACACACTTTGCTTTTCAGTTTGTTATATTCCTCTGAAAATTATTCTGTTAATTCTATCTTCTAAAAAGGGCACAGAGATGTTCAACTACCTGGGTGCATATTTTATGGTACACAGAACCACGAACATATATTAAAAAACTTGGCTGACTGAATATCCTCATGCCTGAAATTGGATTTGCTCATCTCGTGTCATGCCAGAGACCAAGATCCAGTTAGCAAATTTGTATTACTGAAGTAATGATAAACATTTAAGGGAAAGTAATCGCCAGGAGCAATTTGCTGTAAAGTTACATTGCTGAAGGACATAGAGTAATTCTGATTTGACAGAAGCACTTTGCAAAGAAATACATGTGAACTGAGATCTCAATCACTGACCTTTGGAAAGGGTCACTGGGAAGCTCTTCTCAACAGAAACTGACCTCAGCATGTAGTGTTTCTAACTTACACCACTTATTCACACAAAGCTGTGAGGTGATTCCCAGCAGCCAGCGCAGGTATGCAGTGAGCTGGCAGTCTCACAGCCTGCTGGGAAGCAACCATGTGGTGCTGTCCACAGTTCTATGTGTCACTGTCCGGCACCATAGAGAGGAAACAGAAATGCTTATAGCCTTTGGCTAGCAGAACAAAGGTGTTTGTGTGGGCTTTTGCTTTATTTTTATAACAGGCCAAACATCTTGCTATCATGACCCAAGAATGGGTCTGTCATTACCAGCATATGTGAGGAAGCAATATTATCTAACCAGGCTCTGTACATCCGTGTGTTGAAATTAAGATATATCGGAGTTGCATCTAATCATCTCCCTTTAGCAGCTATTAAAACCAGCATATGTTAAAGCAACAGTATAGGTGTTCCCTCTGAATGATTTTATGATGCTGTCAATGCATGTTGAAGGAACAACTCAAAACAAGTAACTGAAATGCAAAATCCAGTTCATTCAAAAAAAAAGTGTACACGAACAGAAGTAAACAACGGTGAAGTTGTGAAAATAAAAAACAAAAAACACCCCTTTTTAATTCCCTTTAAATTAAAGTACTGAAAAAACAGGCTAAGTTTCTTTGTTGCTCCAAAAACAGTTAAGAACTCAAAATACTCCTCACAGCACTGACATGACTTTGATGGATTAATCAGTATTAGAGGCACATACAGTGATAGGGCAGCATAAATATTAGGCAGAGTTCTTAAATACAACTTTTGAGCTGCTGTTTAGGCAAGGTAATATTTCCTTCATACTGTTAAGAGGTCATTATAAAAAGAAACCTCCATCATAATGCAGTTTTTTTCTGGTACTGAACAAGAGTGAATAAATGGGACTTGAGAGGTAACTGTGCACCAAGGGCCTTTATGCAAGTTGTTATTCTGGAACCCAAATACTGTGCTTTGTTATCACTTTTTATGAAGTCCCTCTGTCAGCACTGCACACGATAGGCAATGGCAGTGCTGTGAGCTATGATCACAGCAAAGCTCACTGGCTGCCAGCAGAAAAACCAACCACTGGGACATGTCTGAACACTGCTGCCCTGAAAACTTGTCATGTCTGTCAGCAAACAATGGGTGTACCTCTCAGGCCATACAAATCTAATCTTATTCGGGTTCCTGCTGTTTACAGAAGCAGCTTCCTCTAGCATATTTTGAGACTGCTGTTGTTCAGTATTTATCTACCTTCTAGAGATAGATTTCAATCATTAATACAGTAGAAGAACATTACATTTTCATTAACCTTTTTTTCCTTGAAATAGAAGTCTGACTAACAGTTGTCACCCACACAGCAGAACCTGGGTCCCAGACGCACTGCGGCCCAGGATTCACCTGACATACAGTACCCATGTACAAACTCCCTCTCTTTAAACCTCTGTTTGCTGCTTCACTGAATATCTCCCTCCCCCATATCCGTAACAGCAGTCTGTAATTGCTTCACCACAGAAATGGGACAGATTTGGCATTCCCTCTTTTCAGTTGACTACAGCTTGCACTAGCAGGGAGCTCGGATTCTGCCTGGCTAAGTGACAGCAGCACAGCAGCTCCAATCAAGGACTGCTGCCACGTGAATACCGGTGCCCCCAGCCCCATTTTAATTAAAGAAATTCACCAATGAGTTAATGCAGCAGTTGGCCGACCCCACAGCGATACATACAGATTACAGCAGCAAGTTTAGTAATAGTAAACTACATCCGAGTGAAATTTTTCAAGGAGAGCAACCAGCCACAGGCTGTAACTCCCCACTGAAGCACCACCCGCAATCATTTTACGGCCCGTAGGGATGAAGCCCTCCCGCCCGCGGATCAGCACGTTGCCGGCAGGCTCCATCGCTCGCGGTCAGTCCCAGCAGCTGACGCGCTCTTGCTCGGGGATGAGGCTCCAGTTGGGTGAGGGCCTGTCGCTCGCCAGCCAGTCAAAGTCATCCACCAGGTTCCAGTTGTTTCTGTTTCTATCCAGCCCGGACGACTCGAAGTCCGCCTCGATGCCCGGGTAGCTCCACGCGTAGGGCGCAAAGGACACCTCGCTGCAGTCCTCGATGACGGCCCTGCTGGTCACCTGCACGTAGAAGCGGCTGCCGCGGGTGCGATGCGTGCGGAGCTGCTGGCAGGCCACCACCAGCTGGCATTCGCTGCAGCCATCCACCAGCACGGAGGTGGAGACGGGCCCGCACAGCACGGTGCAGCCGCGACACTCGCGCATCCGCAGCGTGTTGGGGTTGCCGCGAAGCCGCACCCGGCAGCCGCGCAGCTCCTCCAGCACCACGTCGCGCTGCAGCAGCTCCTCCGGGCCCAGCTCCAGCTCCCGATCCTCGGCGCGGCTGAAGCCGCACAGCGGAGGCCCGCCCGGCTCCCCCTCGGCGCTGCCCGGGGCCGGCGGCTCGGCCGACTCCTCGGGCTCGGCGGGGCGCGGCTCGGCGCCCGGGGCCGCCTCTTTTTTCAGGCTGCGGAAGGCGAACTTCTTCTTGGGCTGCAGCTGTTGCCGCCGAGCCGCCAGGTCGGCCTGCAGCCGGGACACGGCTTCCTGGCCCTGCCGTACCTCGTAGGGAGACAGGAAGCGCACGCTCTCGGTCAACAGCTTCTGCAGCCCCTGCAGCCGCGCCGCCGCCTCCTCAGGCCGCCCCGCCGCCAGCAGCGCCGCCACCGCCTCTCGCTCCCGGCCGAAGGCGGCGGCGAAGAACTCGCTGCCCTCCTCCGGCACCGCCTGCGCCTCCTTCAGCTCCCGCTGCCGCGCCACGCCGCGCTGCCGCTCCGCCTCCCGCCGCTGCAGCCGCTCGGGCAGCACCGCGACCGCGGCGCCGCCGGCCTCGGGCCCCAGAGCGGCCACGAAGGCAGCCGGCGCCCTCCGCTCCTCGCCCGCCGCCTCCATCTTGCGCTCCGTCCCGCCCGCGGCGCGGCGGCCGGCGGGAGGGGCGGGGCCTGCGCGGGTTTAAAGGGGCGGCGCCGGGCGGCGGGATGGGGTGAGTGCCGGCGCCAGGCGCCGCGGGGTGCGGCCTCGGCTTCCCAAACGGGTGGCGGGTGTCGCCGCCCGCTCTGTTCCAGCCGCCGTGCGCGCAGCAGTGCCCGCTCCTCCCCTCTGCTGGCCGCGCGCTCGGCCCCTCGGGCCACTCGAAGCCTTTCTCGCAGGCGGTCGGAGCCGCGGGGGAGGGGCGGGAGGAGGGAGGACCGCTTTGGGCCGGAGCGCCTTCCGGAGGGACCCGGGCTTGGGGCGCGGGCCTGTGTGGCGCTTCGTGCCATGGCTTCGGGATGCCGCAGTTGCGCCGCTTTGTACGCTTTCCCGCGGCCTTCCTTCCCGCAGCGGACTGGCCGTGGATGCGCTGGCGGCACGGCGGATGCGCTGCAGAGCGGCTGCCGCACTCCGGCCGTGGTGTGCGCGCTGCGCTTTGTTCCAGGAGGGCGCTCGGGTGTGAGGGACTGCGAGAGCGGCGCCCGTGGGTCGCTGTGTCCTTGCGGTGCAGCTGTGCGAGAGGTACGCAGACACCTCTACGGGGATGTGGCAGTGGCCAGGAGGCCGTGTGCGCGTGTGAGAGCTGCCTTAGGTAGATGTGCAGTGAGGACTACTGGCAGCGCATCTGGCTGCAGCGCGCAGCGGTGACCGTGCTCGTTCTGATGTGCTCCTCGAGAGCGGCTCTGTCCCTGCTTCAGGGAGGGGTAATTTCTACAAAGAAAGTGAACACCAAGCACGTGCACGTACATGAATGTAAGTGCAACCCCGCTCCAGGACTACGGCTATCATATGCGTTCCTCTTGCATTCCAAAATTGCCAACGGTTAATCAACATGCAACCTGAACTATCCGTTCATACTAAAGCATAACAAACCCAGAGTAGATATTCCAACTATGCTGTTAGAACTTACGCTGAAATACAAAATTATTATTTTTTTTTTATTATTTTTTTTTTTTTTCTTTTGCTGCAATGAGGAATCAAGGGATGCCAATCTATGGCCCTGGAGCATATCCAGAGAAGGGCAACAAAGCTGTGAAGGATCTGGAACACAAGTTTTATGGAGGGTGGATGCAGGAATTAGGTGTGTTCAGTCTGGAGAAGTGGAGGCTCAGGGCGGATCTTATTGCTCTCTACAACTGCCTGAAAGCAGGCGGTGGCAAGGTGGGAGTCGACCTTTTCTCCCAGGTAACTAATAGGCTGAGAGGAAATGGTCTCAAGTCGCTTCAGGGAAGGTTCAGTTTGGGCTTTAGGAAGCATTTCTTCTCGGAAATAGCAGTGAGGCCCTAGAACAGACTGCCTAGGGAGGCGGTGAAGTCACTGTCCCTGGAGTGCTCGAGAAAGGTGGAGCTATGGCATTGAGAGATGTGGTCAGTAGGCATGGTGGGGGTGGGCTGGTGGATGGACCAGATGATCTTAGTGGTCTTCCCCAAACCTAATGGTTCTGTGATTGTCTGGTAGCAGCAGCACTTTGGATGAGGTTGGTGGAGCCTGCAAGGTGTTTTGTATTGCTCTGTTGGAATGGATGCATAATGAACCAGAGATGGTGTATTCCATTGGAATGTGGGTGGGTAACATTGTGTTTAATGCATTATAGCACCTGACTGTCTCAGTGCTGCAAAAATAATGCATCCAGAATTTTGCTTCTGAAGAATGAGGTTTTAAATCTTAAAAATAAAAAGCTCCTATGTTGTAGAAAAGGAGAATGCTCAGTTGTGAAAACGAGAAGGAAATCTTGTAGCATTCTCACGTGATTTGTTTCTACCAGTGTATTTAGATAATACAGTGATAAAGTCTTCAGCGTTTTTGCTAATAGTCAGATCTACTCCTGCAGTACCTGCAGTCATGTCAATGTGCAACTGATTCACTGTAAGAAGGAAATAATCCATCTTCCTGTCTTGTTTTGTAAGAAAGGTGTGTAAGTTTCATAACAGGCCTTCTTGCTCCCACCAGTGTAGGTAATACCAGTAGGAGCAGTGATGTAATTTCGTATCCCATAAGCGAGGCTACTCACAGGAATGTGGCACTCTGTTTTTTTTCAGTATGTGCAAACACTACTGTTATTCTTAAACAGATGCGACCAGATGGATGACCTGCAGTGCTTTATGTTTGAAAAGATTACAAGCAAATGCTAGTACAGGCCCTCCAAAAAAAAAAAAAAAAGAAAAGAAAAAGTCTATATGCTGTGCTACAGTGATTATTTTTTATTATATTCAAGCACTCAGAAAGTTAGGTATGCTAAACTGATTATTTTTGTCTCAAGGTGATTGAAGTTTTAAATTAACAAGGCCTAAATACACTTGTGAATAGGAGCTTCTGGGAGAGACTGGAGTCTTTTCACATTGCGAACACATACAAATAGGTTTTGGGTTACAAGTACAATAACCACAGATACAAAGAGGTGGAGTTTACGGCCATAATGAAAAATTAAAAAGGGAGTAATAAAATTATTCCAACCATCTTATCTTGATACTCCAAAATTACTTTCCACATTTACAATTTGAGGTTTTGGTATAATTGATATTGATATGTATATATATGTATTTGTGGTAATGCAAAGACTGATGATTTTCTTCCTGACTTTGCTGGAAGTAATGATGTTTCAAGGCTGTTTAATGTGCTTCAATATAATCCACAGAAAACAGAGGACTTAAAATTTCCCATGCTGTAACAACCTGAATAAAGTACCTGCCTTATAGCTGCTTGTTGGTAAGCTGCATCAAGCAGTTTAGCTGCTAGAGACTTTTGGATAACAGTTAGGTACGCAGTTCTGCCTACATTATAATCCATTCTTTTAATTTTTTTCTTGACGTTCCTTAGTTTTTCTTTGCTTTGAAAGTAGATAATACTCAGTTCAGTAATATCTTTTCCTGTTGCTTGCACTATATACTGTTATTTGTCTTAGGTGAAGTTGCAGGTTGCATGTGCTTACATGGATGTAGTGCTGTGGATCTCCAAAAAATGATCTATAGGACTCATGCTTCTCAGCTTAAATCTGTATCACATGGTTATTGCCCTCCAAGGCTACCTGCCTGGAAAAATATTGTACTGATTGAAGCTAATTCATACTGATTTATACTGACGCAACAGAATTAACTCATGGTTTCCTTGAAATGAGGCATACTGCATAGATAGAGTGAAGATTCAAGATCCTGTCTCATTTGAGCATTATTTTAATAAGAGAGGTAAATAAACACAAGAGCAACAGGAGCAACTGAGTGCCTGTTAAGAATACATGCAAGGGATTCTTAATCTTGAGGTTCCTGAGCTTGTGAAAGTTAACAACTTCATAGCTGTGGTCTTGAGATGTAGGTTTGCACCTTCTCAGAGGAAGGAAGCAAACACAGCAATTCCTTATCATCATTACATACCTCCAACACGGACACTTTTATTTCAAAGGGTTTAATACATGTACACTGCACCATAAAACACAGAAGGTGCTGCTTCATCTGTTAGCTGTGTTTTTAAGAAAGGCAGCCTCTGTCTCTCACAAGGAGTTCTTATCTGATAGATGCAATCTGTGAATGCCTGTTAGATTGAGCTTCTCCAGAAGAGATTAGCAGGTGAATGTAATTACTTCTGGCTGCAAAGTAGGTGCTTCGGTGACTTGCTCAACCATAGTATGCTACTGCCAGTTTTAGTAAGATCTTTTCTAACTCTTCTGGCACTGTCATCAGACATTAAAGAAAGATGTAAGCTATATTATGATTCATTTAAGGTAGTGTTGACTGTACATTTTTCATGGTGGGTTGGGGCTTCTGTAAAAGGGGCTGTCAAGCTTCTGTAGTGTTTGTGTTCTCTTGAAAAAAATCACAAAGTCCTTTATCGTGGCTGGTACACTGATTGCTTTTAAAAAAGCTTTTATTTGGACTAAAATGATATTCTTTAAATATTTGGCCATATGGAAAAGCAAGACAATGTAAAATATGTGTATTTTTTAAATCGCTAATTAGAGAGTTAGAACAACAACTATAAAACTCGGTGCATCTTAATTGCAGTGAGTAATGCGAAAGCTTTGAAACATAATCCTTGGGAACATGTAAGATACTAATTATATTCTGACTAGTCAAGGTGCACTTGTTTTGGAACAAGTCTGAGCTGGTCGCTTCAGAGAACCTGGCGTTCCCAGTGCCAGAGGTGGAGAAACAAATTCATTTCTACAGAAATGAGTTATCCTCCTACAGCCAAGATGGACTTCAAAGCGTAACACATTATGACAAGAGACTGAAAGATTAATGAAGCAAGGCCCAAGTACACTTAACGCAGAAGCTCGAGAAGTGTACTTAGGTTTAGTCTAAGCCTAGCGTCTAATTGGTATTTAGGACCCCAACTTGCTAACTGACCTAAGTTAAATTCTGAAGACCCAAGTATGTAAATCACAGATGCTGTCTCATTTTGTCCAGAAGAATCAGAATGATACAAAGATACTGTGAGAAACAGTACTGAAGGCTTTGCTGAAATTCAAAAACATTACATCCACTGGCTTCCCCGGTCAACAAAGTGGGTAAGTTTGTAACTGAAGGAGATTAATTTCATTAAATAGGCCCCTCCCTTGTGTACTTGTGTTGACCATGACTGCATTGTCTTTCAGGCGTTTTTTAGTAATTCCTGGAATAACCTTTTCCATGATTTTGCCTGGCACTGAAGTGAGACTGATAGGCCTGTAATTACCAAGATCTTTCTTGCTCTTGAAAACTGGGACAATGTTTGCCAGCTTCCAGTCAACTTGGGCCTCCCCAGATTCCCAAAACTACTAAAAAGTAATTGAGAAAGGTCCTGCAATGACACCAGCCAGTTCTTAGAGTACTATGGGATGAATCCCTTTGCGCCCCATATAGACACACAGCCAGAGTAGCAAATCCTGCACAAGTTTAGGGCTGGCTTGGAGTTTATCATTACTGCAGTCTCAGTCTTCCAGCTGAGGG